GACCCCCCACAAAGCCGGGACGGAGCACGCCGGGTTCTCACCGGGCCAGGGGGGGTACTCATGTCTTGTGTGCCTTAGACCTTTGACCACGCGTCCTCGATAGGACGGAGTATTGTTCCCACAGGATCGACCGCCGATTATCAATCGAAATTTCCTAGATACTTTGCCGAAGATGGCTGAATGTGTTCTCAAGCTTATCTATCCAGTCGACATCACTGCCCGCCTTTCATGCCCGTGGCGGGGAGGGTACAAATTGGTGCATGCCTCTTGCGCTCTACTGGGGGCAACCCATACAGGTCCAAATTGACAACGGGCATGCGGGGCAGCAAACAGAGAGGCTACGCCGTTCTATTACATGACGCTACGGCATTCCTGTCTCAACCGAGCAGCCACCCATACAGGAGTAACGGGCGGAGATCCTGAAGAGAACAACCACGTCATGTCATAAGTCGGCGAATCTGGGGACTCTTGATTGTTAATGTGTCAAACGGCCAGAAAGTCGACCCAGCACAATCAAACGAACAACAACAATGGCCAACCTCCAGAAAAGGCTGCTAAAACAATTCAGCAAACACACAACATCAGCAAGGACGGCAAGAACAGTGACAGCAATTCCAACAGCACCAACAAAAACCACGCGCAACATCGCCAGGCACCCCCACTGCTGTCACCTCCACCGGCAACAAGACAACGACCGTATGCATAGCACTCACTGATCGATCGACTTTATCATATGCTTCCTGTTGCGCCTCACGGCCAGCTCGTGCTTGGCCGCCTTTGCTCGCTTCTGCTTGTTCCGCTGAGCCCGCGTGAGCTTTCCCGAGGCCGGTGTGGGTTTCCCAAGAGAGAGGCCGGTCGCGTTATCGTCTTCCTCACCATCGGACGATTCCTCGTCCTATAAGCGGGATAATAACGAAACAGAGCGGCCATCGGGTGCGGCGGAAACGCGCGGTGCTCGTGTAGGACAATCTGGATTTGAATAATATTCCTACCGTGATCTTCCCAGCCGCAACCTCGCTTGTCAGACTGGCCTGAATCTCACGCGCGACCACCCCCTTTCACCGAAAACGGCTAGCTCATTCCAATGAGAAACCCAGCATCGGTCAGCATGACACCCGAAACGCCAAGCCACCCCCAGCAAAACCAACCAGCAAAAAATTCTTTGTTCGGTCGTTCCGTGCCGATGGGTCGCGGGAAAACGCCTCCTTGCTTAAGACGCTCCCGTCGTTATTCTCGCGAGGAAAACCGACGACTACGACGCCAAACAGAGAAGCCTTATCAAACACCAAGAGAAATAACCACCAAAATGACAAAAAAAAAAATCGTAAATCAACTCCACGACAACCTAATGGAATACCCACGTCCTCGTCTCCGATGATGACAGCCAGCGTCTCCTCTGACATCCCGGCTGAAATCGGCGCGCTCTCCTCCTCGATGGCCTCCTGCCGCTTGAGCTCCACGGCCACAGCGCTCGCGAGCACGTCGTCGTGGTCCTCCTCCGCCGGGTTGTAAGACTGCCCCGGGTGACACACACCCAGCTTGGCGAGATTCCGAACCGACTGTTTCTGCAAGTCCGCGTTTGTTTCAGGCACAACAACAACAGCGCGACCGTTAAAATGTTGGTATTCATTTTGGCTACGTGAGCTGGGATAAAATTCAAGCACTGGGCGGCCTACTTGAAAGTGTGGCCGGCGTAATTCTCGAGACCACGACTCTCTCCTCTAGTACCACACAGACTATACAAGTAGAGTTCAAGCACGTGGTAGTGGTCATCGTCCCACAGGCCTGTAGGACTGCTCCCAACTACGTCGCGAGTCAGGCACCAAGCTCCTCGCGAAGAATCCGATCCGTTTCGATTGGTCGCGGGTGCAAACTCGGAGCTTGGAGTACATGACAACGAGTATTGTTCACCTGTACACCGCGAGTATCTAGAACGAAAGTGTTTCATTCAAATTGTGTGTTGCAGCTGGAATCAACAAGTGGCCGACGAAGCGCAAGGAGAAGTTTCAATACTTGCAGCACCGGATGTACTCTTGAAACCAACCACGCCCAACCTCGTAAACATGCCAAGGGCGATAGCCACAGGCAGGAGCAGAGCAACCTCCCGACCCCGGGCATGATTCACGTGCACAACCTCCCGACCCCCGAATGATTCACGTGCTTCAAGCGTTTTTTCTGCAACACGTGACGTTTTCGAGTACGGTACGCCAAGGTCATGAAGCATTACATCACCCTTCAACGAAATTAATATTTCGAGCAGAGCGCCACCATCTCACCGCAAGACAAGGCCCCGGGCGCCCCATCTACCCAACGAGGAAAAAGGAACAATTTAGTTGCTGTTCGTGTTTGAAAGGGATGCGCCGTTACCGGCTACGGTAAGAAATACATTTATACGTTCTCGCACAGCACGTGCCCCTCTCTTTCTCACCGGACGCTTGGCGTTCCGCCCCGGTACCCTAGGGGACGTAACGAAGTCTTCCCCTCCCTGCCGACCGCCTGGCTCTCTTGCAGACTCCTCCATGGCAGCTGTCGCTTTTGCCACCGCCCCTCCTTCCAGCGAAAGCAACGGGTTCGAGTCATCTGCTTCCATCTTCCCCAACGTGGATGGCGGCAAGGCTTCCTGCGGCTCCTTGGTGCTAGACCCTTCCTCTTGGTCCTCATCTGCCCATGGGTCGGAGATTCGCTTGCGACCCGCGGCTCTTGGCTTTCCCTGTCCATCGATGAATTAAGTGGGTGGTGATCATCATAAATCTACTCGAGCAACATCTCCGGCATATACTCTGGCTCCGACTTCATCGTTGGGTGTGCAG